CAATGTCTTTGTTTGGGTTAAAGAATATGATTCCTAGTTCAAAGTGTTGATTTGAACTATTAATAATGGTGTGACTTGGTCAAGGTGACCAAGCGGAAAAGACACCAAAAGGGAAATTAGTTGTGCCAATACGATGGTGTAGTAAGTCCAAGGAAGTAGTCTTTGGGAGAGACCCATAGGAGGGTCGCAAAGTTGGGCCATGGACAAAGCTTGTAGCAGAAAATGCGAAAGAGATCTACTAGGGGTGAGCACCCTTTGGACTTAGCAAAGTAGAGCCTTTGCTATGGAACCAAAAGGATACCTCAAAAATGGAGGTAAGGATCCTATGTTGCTCAATGTAATAATCAACGAATAAAAGCAAAAAACTACTGGCCAAGTGTGGGCCATGGAGTTCATTGAAAGGAATCCAAATGGCAAAGTTAGGCATGGAACAGTAATGTGTTGAATACTAATGGATTGTGAGAAAGGAAGTGTGCTTCCAAGGATGGATTCCCAAATGCTCCAAGTTGGCAAAGGTGAAAGCTTCAAGGGAGGGAGCAGCAAAGTAGCCAAATGATAGAGTTGTAGACATCTTTAGCACAACTTACAATAGCTAGAATTTAGTGCCAAAGGTGGCATAAAATAGAAAGGAGGATGATGGTGCCCTCAAGTGGAGAACTTTCTAAGATGAGGAAGTGAAGTTGCACAATATGTGTAATGAAAGGTGTTAGAGACACCAAGGAAATTGACTTCGAGAAGTGAAAATTAAAAGTTCCAAGGTGAACTAGTTATATCAATAGAAGTTGAGACTATTCGAGAATGAGTAGTGGGATTGAGCTAGAGAAAGTGTCTCTAATAGGTTTAGCGAAAGCTAAACCAATAAAAGGGAGAGAACCACCTGAGGTGGTCAGATGAGTCTCTATGTTGGAAACACTATGCTCCTTAGAGTTTGGATAGGGCATGGCAAGCCTTTAGTGTCAAACCATTGACAAATATGGGTTAGGTGCCAAGGATGGAAAATGTAATATATGTTGGTGTTACTTTATAAAATGGTTTATCGTTCTATGAGGACATTGTAGCGTATGTGATCATGGGATAAGATTTAGATATACTATCACCATGGATCCTTAGAACCTTGGGGGATAAATAGGGATAAAAATAGCCACTAAGGGCTCTCTTATCAAGCAATTACCCCTTTTCCAATTAGTTTAAGGGGAGAGAGATAAGGTGTGCTACAGTTGGTATCGAAGCAAATGGCACGGGTTCGATTCCCATTTATTAGTGGCTACTTAAAAATATAATATACCCTTGAGCAAGGTATATTCCTACCCCTAAATTTGAAATCGTACATATTGGGCATCCATATGTACGTCCTTCCTCTTGTGTGGAGTATCCACGGACGAAGGTATCCACCGTGGAATAGCAATACGGGTGGATGACTAGTTGCCTCACGTGGAATAGCTGATCTACACAATAGAAGGATTGATAGATTCAGTGCGGAAATGGAAGTGCTGATTCCCCTTGGCTTAGTAAGGGTTGTTAGTCAATAGTCAATGAGGACATTAACATCTTTGAAGGGGGGGTGAGTGTAGCGCATGTGATCATGGGATAAGATTTGGATATACTATCACTGTGGATCCTTGAAACCTTGGGGGATAAATGGGGATAAAAATAGCCACTAAGGGCTCTCTCATAAAGCAATTGCCCCTTTCCAATTGGCTTAAGGGAATAGAGATAAGGTGCGCTATAGACATTGAACTTCATTTATGGGTGGTGGAGTTGTGAGACAAAAATCCCTAAGCCCCAAAGTGGAGCCGAAAGGGTGCCATGTGGTAATGGCTGAAGTGAAAGCCAAACGAGCATAACACGTTTGGACTAAAAGCTCCCACTTGAGAAGTCTGAGATGGACCCGAAATGGAGTCTGAGATGGAGTCTGAGATGGAATCTGAGATGGAGTCTGAGAAGGACCCGAGATGGAGTCCGAAGTCGACTGGGACCAGGACCAAGACCAGGACTGAGGCTGAGGCCGAGACCGAGACCGAGCCCAAGACCGAGTCCAAGTCCGAGTCTGAGCCCGAGTCTTTGAGAGACAAGACTGTGATGTAGGTGGTGTTAGACCACCGGTGTGACCAAGGTAAAAGGGGCATAACCTTAGCGTAATGGGCTAATATGTCGATAGTACCTTAGAGTGTCGGTTATGGGATCGAACATGTGGAACACTTGGGCCAAGTACAAAAGTTGAGTGGTGCGGATGCCATTCTCGGGGCTAGCATGCCCAAGTTCGGAATAGGACTTATAGAGGTTGTGAGTGAGACTCCTCCAAGTGGTTGGAGGTGTGGTTAAGTGACTAAAGTAGAATGGAAAAATTAGTCACTTACACCTAGCTAAAGCAAATTGTATTTACCAAATGTCAATCAAGACTTACCAAATATCAATTAATATGTGGTGCGATTCCCCTAAGTCAACCAACAGAGTTGGACCCAAGACCCCTCTAATACCAAATGTAAGCTCTTGAATTTAGACTTCCCAGAAAGTCATCTAGCTTACTACTATTTAGACTTTTTAGAGGGTCATCCAACTTAGTACTATTCAAACTCAAAAACACTTAACCTTAAATATCCCAAGACCCTGAAAAAGGGGGTGTACTCTTGTTCATGGGCCCTTTCCCTCTATATTTAAACCCTATGAATCATTTTTCAAGTTGTTTTCTTTAGTTGTTTATAATATACTTCTTATGCACATGCATTATATTTTCATCATCATTTTACACCAAATCTTAAAGTGGATATTCATATATACCAAATAAACTTTATTATAGAGAAGACTTTAGGAGTCAACTAAATTTATCAAGACTAAAATAAACTTTTTATAATTTATATAATTAAGAAATAAAAATATTTTTCACTTTATATATTTGTAATCACAATACTACCTGTAATATTTGTGTGTCTCCATTTCTATCTTTACCATCTTAAAAATATTTTATTATAATGTTTTAAGAGTGTGATGCTATAGAATATATATATTGTTAACTGCCATTGATTCCACTAAAAGCCAAAAAATAAATATGACATTTCTTTAAAGTCATAGAATTATAAATTTTTAAAACAAGTAAAAGGGCATTCTTCTCCACCTAATTTATTGTACCTTTTGTTATTGTATTATTTTATAATTTATTATCACTACCCTCACTATCATCTTTTTTTTCTCTTGTGTGGCTTGATTGTGATATGCAATGAGATAGTTATTGCAACCCCTAGCCCTTGAATTACTACCATAAGAAAAAAAATTGCAAGAGTTGAAACTTACCAACATTAAAAATTATATATATTTATGTGTAGTTTCCTCTCTTTGAATAAAAGTGTGATTAAATATCCATAAATTCTAAACAAGTAAACCCCTCAAAAATATATTCTATAGAAGAATGATACCTATCTTTTATATGCAACAAATTTATTCAATGGTTGCTTTTACCTTTTAAACAATTACATGACCTTACAAAAGAATCTGAGTTAAAATTTAATAATTTTAAATTCTGACCAAAAAATATAGTAATGATTTTAAAGAAGTCATAATTTTAATATTTTTACAAACAAATCTTATCTTATTTTATGTTTTGACAAACCTATCTATTATGGCATGTAGTAAATATTTAAACTCTTGAATATGAAGTGTCTTCTAAAACATTTTTATTTATATAAAGTACAAAGAGTTAGAAAAATATAATATAATTTTTTTTGCCATAAACCTTAATTTTCTAAATTTATAGTGTTTGTAAATTGCTAAACTTGTGAGCTCAACTCTTCAACTCGTGACCTCAAGGATTTTTTGCACTCTTATCTTTGTCTTACATTAACTTCTTCATATATTAAACATTAATCCCTTAATAACATACATTCGGGAGTTTGGCTTTATCCCCTTATTTAATGGCCAAAGTTGTTTGCACTCATGTTCCTATTTGTGCACCTTAAAGAAACTCTAAATTGGACTTCGACTTTGGTTCTCTACAAAGGCAATTTCTTGAAATCCATTGGTAAACAAGCAAGGAAACCTTAGCATTTTCATATGAGGATATCTCAGTACCTTACAATTAGACAAGATGGAGTATATATTGAGCACAAGGAATCATTTGACAGCCAAAAATATTGAGTCAATGCAAGGCTCTAATAGGAGTAACAATGTAAGAAAACTCTCAATCTCGATAGAAATGTGAATCCAGATGGGAGCTGCAATGAAAGATTTGGAAGATCAAGCCGAGCAAACTCAATATGATATACTTTGAGAAGAAGAAAAACATAGCAATGCAGTTGTGCTAATTAATCTTCCTCTTTTTCGTCTAGGGTGCTTGAAACTAAAGTCTATGAATACTCCCACCACAATGTTCATATGGTTTGCCCACTCCCACTCCCAGTTTATAGGTCACTCTGAATAAAGTCTATAATATGTCTATAGCGATCATACAAAAAACTTTATGGTAGTTTAGAATATCTTTGAAAACTTTAATGAAGAAAATAATAGGGCTATAGCATACGGATATTTGTAACCTGGTGCTAGCCCTAAAAACACAGGAAATTACTTATCCACTATAGCTAAAATATCCAAACATATTTTAGGAGATTCCTTCATCTTGAACTTTTTCTTAATTCATTTGTAACAAAGGTTTTATATAAAATGTTAAGTATCACTACTCTCATGTAAGCCATAACTCAATCAGCTCTAACCTGGATGAACAGATCCATCTCCTTTTTTAGCCCAGCAATTGTTGATACAATTATAAGGAATTACACTGCTTGATTTTGTTGCATGTGGTATAAATCAAAGACAGTCATGTACTTCTGTGGAAAGACACTCTACTAGCCCCACACAAGTACAATCCCATCACAAAAAGACCCATGAGGATTGACATTTACCTAGCAAGAGCGTTTGCAGTTTGGACATTCAATTTGTATAACCTAAGAGGTTATCAGGGAGGATTGGATTATCAGTTTAAATGAAAATATTCCTTTCCATTAAAATTTTAGTTCATTTCATCTCATAGACCGTTTATATAAATTTAAAAAGCTCAGTAAACAAGTTGTATTGGCACAGCTATTGAGCAAGTAAACCCTTGTCTAGTCCAAGTCTTTGAATTCACATCATACGAAAAGCAAACCTTGCTCTTCTTACCTCCTTTGCAAGAGCAAGAAAAGTTGAGAACACTCTCAATTTGCCCAGTAAATCTAAATTCCCCAGCCTCCAAACCCACAACATACTCACTCAGAAATTCAGTCCAGATTTCTTTTACTTCAATATGAACTTCCCAAACCTCCACTCTACCTTTCTTCACCGCATTGAGCACGAGCACGTAGAGTTTGTTGGCCCATGCAGCAACGCAGACACCATCACCAACTTTATCATAGAGATGCGAATAGAAAAACTTGTTGCGTGTCAAGTCATACTGGAGGAGCCACTTTTGATCGCGCGAAGCAGTACAATACACTACACCATCTAGCAGCACCGGGATCGATCCAGGGGCGACGTCCCCTTTGGCAGGAATCCACGCCACCTGGCCGCGAACGAAGGTGTAGAGCGTGCCATCCGAGAACCACACCACAACCTTGTAATCCCCGGGAGGAGAATTCGAAGCGGCAGCAAAGAGGCAGACCCTGGACATGTCCCCAAATCGCAGGTAGGGGATCTCCTCCCACTTGGCCACGAAGGGACTCCCGACAAAGAGCCTCCTTTCCTGCGAGGAGCGCGCCAGGACGAGGCGCTTGTCCTGCGACACTGCGCACAGCCAGTCGGGGACATCCCTCTCCACGTTTTCAAAGTGCTGCGGCGCCCATCGCATCATCACGCCGCTGCTGTCCTGGATCGAATTGCTATCTAGGAAGAGTTTGGCACTGTCCCTGTACGAGCTCCGGAAGCTGGGTGCATCCACCACAGATCTCCACACCTGGCACACACATCTTGCCCTTAGAACACCTGAGAAAGGGAGCCTGCGAAGGATCTCCCTGACTAGCTCCGGCATAAGGCCGGACATCCCTGCCCACGCCCTCTTGCGCGATGCCATAACCCTTTTCTTTTCCCCTAAGGGTTAAGCCGCTTTAATGCAAACTAACAAAAGGTATGAAGTTAAAGTTTTCAAAGATATTTGTTTTGCCTGGTTGCTACAATATTATAGACTTTGGAGATTAGGGTGATCTATAAACTGGGAGACCATATGAACATGGTGGTGGGATTATCCAGCTCTCTGGCTCCATAGAGAGCTGAGTATTTTTCTTCTTCTTGAAGTATACCACATGGAGTTCGCTCAGCCTGATCTTCCAAATCTTTCACTGCGGCTCCCATCTGGATCCGGATTTCTATTGAGATTGAGAGTGTTCTTACATTCTTCCTCCAACCTTTGGAACTGGTCAATGATATCGAGAGACATTAGAGGCTTGCAGCGACATAATCTTTTGGGCTGTGAAACGATTCCTCGTGCTCAGTACATACCCCATCTTGTGAAAAGGCCGAGGTTTCCTTGCTTGTATACCAATGGATTTCAACGATTCTGATGGTCTTTTTCTTTGCAGAGAACCGAAGTCGAAGTCCAATTTAGAGCTTCTTCAAACGGGAACATGAGCGCAATGCTTCCAACGACTTCTGTAAAAATCTGGTTCACTGGTACACTCTTTTTTCTGAAATCTATGTTCTCCAGATATTAACAAGCCTAAAACAGTGATAGTATCTATTCTCTCCAAGTATTCATGGTGAATGCGCATCACTCCATTCAGTCCAGATGTATGGGTCATCTGGTACTAAGTCTTCTGTTTTTTGCTTTATTTTCTTTCTTTCCTTCGTGGAACAGAAATGCATCTGGTCTGTCCAATGCATTGCCATTGCCTCACGCACAAGCCGAGAAATTTACAACGAAGCACAGGAAGTGGAGCAGCAAACTTCTCGTAAGTGGTCCCCGTTCGTTTTTTTGACATCAAAAGGCCGCGAACGCTTTGTATTCCGACCTCAAGGGCGGGCCTCATTTCTCCTTGCAAGCACCAAGTGACGACGTTAATGTATACTCGATTTGCCGAAGTTTTCCATCCCGTGGATGATGCTTTCTTTACAGGGACATATAGGCCATTCTCTTGTGTGAGGGCAAACAAGAGCAAAGGCATTGGCTTTGTGTCCGCCTGAGCAAGAGCCTCAATGCTGCTACGTAGGATCCTCTTCCTAAAGACCTCCTGTCTGCATTCATTTTCTGTTTCTTTCCCTTTTGTTTTGGTGCAATGGTGGGGATATTGCAGCGAGGATGTTCAAAGTAGCTATCTTCTTCTTTTCTAATGGTGTTGAAACCTTTATTGTAAGAAAGAAGAGAGAACGCACTGTTTAATGAGCTTGTTCTGACGCTCCTCTGTTGCAAGACCCCAGAGATTGGAGAGAACGCCAAGGCCGGGACGGCGGCGAAGCTGGAATCCATCTCGATCCAAGAAGGCAACGCCATGGAAGTGGGCTTCGCAGAAGAGGAGCCAGGAGATGGAGACGATGGCGTAGTTTCTTTGCGTTTATATGTAATATAGCTTTCTCATTTTGCTTAATTACGGGGGATGTTTTCTAACAGGGGAAGCGTGTTGTAGAAGCTCCCCAAAATCTTAAAACTAGCCGTTGTAACGAAGAACCCTAGAAATGGGGATGGGGGGCGACGGCGACGGCGACGGCGAGCGCCTTACGGTAAGAAATCTTTCTCGCGCAGCTCCTGATCAGTCTCGCGTCTACAGGATCGTGCCGCTCCAGCGCCGCCAGCGCCGCTGCCAAGGATGGCTCCAGCTCCGCCAGCGCCGCGACCAGGGATGGAATCTGCCGCTCCAGCGCTACCAGAGATGAAATGCGAGGAGCGCTTTAGGGTAAGAATCCTTCTTGCGGAGCTCCTTCAATTCACGCCTGTACAGGACCTTGCCGCTCTCGCGCTACCAGCGCCACTTCCAGAGATGAACCCTGCCACTCCAGCGCTACCAGAGACGGAATGCGAGGACAAGGAGCGCTTTAAGGTAAGAATCCTTCTCACGGAGCTCATGATCAGTTTACTCCTCTACAGGACCCTGCCGCTCTAGCCCTGCCAGCGCCACTGGACCCTGCCGCTCCAGTGCCACCAGTGATGGAATGCGATGACGAGGAGGAGTGCCTTAATGTAAGAAATCCTTCTCACAGAGCTTCTGATCAGTTACGCTTCTACAGGATCTTGTCGCTCTAGTGCTGCCAGCGCCTCCTCCTGCCGCTCCAGTGCCACCAGTGATGGAATGCGATGACGAGGAGGAGCGCCTTAATGTAAGAAATCCTTCTCACAGAGCTTCTGATCAGTTACGCTTCTACAGGATCTTGTCGCTCTAGTGCTGCCAGCGCCTCCTCCTGCCGCTCCAGTGCCACCAGTGATGGAATGCGATGACGAGGAGGAGCGCCTTAATGTAAGAAATCCTTCGCACAGAGCTTCTGATCAGTTACGCCTCTACAGGATCTTGTCGCTCTAGTGCTGCCAGCGCCTCCTCCTGCCGCTCCAGTGCCACCTCCAGAGATCGAGCCTGCCGCTCCTGTGCCACCAGAGTTGGAATGCGACGAGCAAAAGAGGAAACGACCAAGGTTTCTAAAGGGCGAAGCTGTTCCACTTGATGATGCCGATCCAGCTCCACATACCCCAGAGGCTGCTCCACACGCTCCAGAGACTGATGCAGATCCGGCAGCACTACAGCCTCCTCTCCCGGCTGATCTAGCTCCTGTCCTCCCAGCTGAGCCAGTGCTAGTGCCTCCTCCGGCTGCTGCTCTCCTCCCAGCTGAGCCAGTGCTATCGCCTCCTCCGGCTGCTGCTCTCCTCCCAGCTGAGCCAGTGCTATCGCCTCCTCCTGCTGCTGCTCATGCTCATGGAGCTTCTTCATCCACACCCATGGTAATAATTTTGTTTGCGTTTGTCTTTGTATTAGTGTTTTTTGTTCTACCTTGCAGGATGTTTTTAAACTACGTGCATGGAGGCGCCTTCAACTTCGCGGTTTGATTCCTCCCACAGCCCCAGCAGTTGCCCGGGAAATGCCAGAGGTTTTGTTAACATGCTTTGTTTTGCTTTGTTCTTCATTTGCCTTTTCTTAGGTTGGTTTCTGTGTCGAGGACGACGATTGGGAGTGGAAGGTGGACATCAAAGAGCTTTTTGGCTCTTGTTTTCAGTAATTTAGTCCTGGAAAACATTTTACAGCGACTGTACAAAATTTGAGCGCATTTTGACAAGTATAAAACTGTATAAATCAACGACATTCTTGATTTCGCCTGTGATTCTTAAAAACCCTCATTTTTCATTATCTTTTTAGTGCAATCTTTGATCAACTTGAAGTAAAAAAGAAATTCATAAAGAGCTGAGGCAATCGCTACAATTGTGTGTAATGAGAAATGTTCTAGCTTCTCAAGGACACTCTCATCAACAACTCTAACGGCTTTAATGTTTGTCCATTGTCTTTAGACAATGTAGGTTGAACCTTCGACTTTTGTACTTTTGGCAAATGATTTAATACTTAAGGTGTTTGCTTCATAAATATAAATTTTCAGAAGAATGCTTAATTTAAATTTACAAAGGAATAAATTATTTCTAGTGTTTTATTCAAACCTATTTATTATATTATCGCTGTTCAATTAATATTAAAATGTCTATAAAGGAAATTGCCAACTTTCAAAAAATATATTTCTAGGGTTAGGGCTTTGGTGATGACTCTCCCCATGATGAATTCCGTAGCCGCTCTGGCGGCCGAGCAGAAGGCCGCACAAGCGAATCGCGAGGCTAGAATCTCAGCGCGGAGGCAGCGCATTGCAAATAGGCTGCTTGCCCTGCAGTCAAGCCAAGCGACACAGCGTGAGCATTTCCTTGATCTCTCAGCATTCTTTGGAGTACAAAAGTTTCCCAGGGCCCAAGACACATACGGATGAGAAAGAAGCCGGCCCGGCTCTCATGCAACTCTCATCGAGCTTGCAAAATCTCTCATTCTTGAAGGTAGCTTCGTTTTATATTTGGGGCTTCTGGCTTTGATCTTTCTTACCTTTGAAGCTGCGTACACAAGCTTGCAGAAAAACTTGGCGAACGAATTAAATTACATCCGGGTATCAGTGGATGACGAGCAGTGCAATCATCAGGAATGCGATCGTCAAAGATTGCAGGTTAGATTTTTTTTAGCTCTTTTATTAGATAGATGAAAAACCACTCAACTGTAGCTTAACATCGTAGGAACTTCGCCAAGCGCAAGAAGAGGTTGAAATGTCGTGTGAGCAGCAAAATCAAGTATTAGCTGCAAGGTGGGATGCCATACTTGCGCTTGAGGTTCCTCAACAAATCGCTGAGCAGCTGGAAAATCAACGAAAGGTCTGTAAAATCTTCACCTTCAAACCTTTTCCTCTCTGGAATTTATCTGATTAGTGCAGGCTTGCAACCAAGTACTTGAAACTAAAGATAAACTTGCCGAGAAGATCAAAGAAGTCCTATTGCTCAAGACAGAAGAATACAACCTTGCGTGTATCCAACAAACCAAAGACGTCGATATGCTGGTGCTTGCCATGGGAAAGCAGGTTGTCAATCTCACAGCAGCTTATATCAGGGAGTTTCACGAGATCGAGAGCGCATTTCTTGTCCAGCGTTGGGAGCTCATCCAAAGGTAAACGAGCTTTCGACTTTTACTGACCAAGTGAAAGAACGTTGCCTTCGTTTGCAGCAAAAAGGCAGAGATAGAAGGCTTGATAAAAAAGATGCGAGCCATGGAAGCGCAGTTTCAGGAGAGCTTGTACGCTCGGGGGGACGAGTACTCGGCCGCGCTGGATGAAACTCGACTCCAGGACTCGGAGGATTACAACCTTCTGAAAGTGAAGCTCGAGACGGACGTCCAGATTCTGGAGCAGCACCTCGAGTCGATGCAGGCAGCATATCAGATGAACACCGAGAAGCTCGACTACAACTATCGCGTTCTGATTGAGCGCGAGAACGACAACTACGTGACGGCAGGCCAGCAGAAACGCAAGCTGACGAAACTGAGAGACATCCAGACCAACTTGAAAACCAAGCACGCGGAGCTGGAGCGCAAGTTTAAGTGGCAGAACGCGAAGCTTGCGGACGATTACGCTCGAGTGACCAAGCTGCTGCAAGACTTGCAGAGCAAAGAACAGGAGCTCACGGCTGGACACGAGTACCAGTTTCTCAAGTTTTATGCGATGCATCAACACTGCCTGGCAGTTCTCGTCAGCAAAGTTCTCCAGGTACTCAAATTCATCACAGTTTCATCACAGCTTTTTGGAGTAACTCACTTTCTTTTGCAAACAGGCTGACCAATATATTCATGAGCAGCACCTTGGGTGGAAGTGGCATCCTCCCGATCCTCAGCTCTTCATAGACTTGGCTTCTCCAGGCCCGGTGGAGGCTGAGAGTGACAGTGCAAACATGCCAAGTACCCCCGAGGCTGGTCTCGCCGAGAGCATAACTCTCGCAGTCGATAAACCAATGCTGGATATGCTGTGTAGCGAGCTCGCGTTTATCCTGGACGAGGAAGCCCAGAAGCTAGACGCGGGCCTTGAGATGGACGACCAGAGCTTCGTGAGGAGCATTGCGATCCTCCAGGCACTGGGCATATCAAGTGGAATAACTCTGGACAAGCTCAGGAAATTCGTGACGACCGCGGCAGGGAGGATGATACAGAAGGAGACTGTTATTCCGAGATTGCAGGAGTTTTTGATCGAGAACAAGGCCGAGGCTCTCGTTCCAAAGCTGCAAGTTGGAGGAAGGAGAACGCCGGTTGAGAGGCCCAAAGAGAAAGAAATCAAAGTTACCGAGGAGGAGGAAAAGTGGAGAAAGTTCGCCAAAGTCATAAGTCCCAAGGTGGTTCACGTATGGCCGGCTCTGGACATCGCCATGCTCAAGTATAATCACGTCCTCAAGGATCGGTAAGCTCAGTCATAAAACACTTCTACCAAGCTACTAATCCCCTGTTTCATCAAGAGCAGTGTCGTCGTAGCTCGGGAGATCCAATCGCTCCGTTGGCAGAACGAAGAACTGAAAAGAATGCTCAAGCTTTGCTTGTCGTCGAAGGTTTGCATAGTCTTCTTATTTCCAAAATTTTTGTGACTGTGACTCGCATTATCTCAGGCACACGAGGAGCTTCACGTACCTACAACAATGGTCGCCGGCCGATAGTGGAGATCGTTTCGAAACTACGCAAAGCCTTCCCATTCCTGGAGAAACTCGGCCAGGTATGCCTCCATAAACTCGTGCCGCTTTTCTGCCCGGTTGCGACCAGCCTGTTTGATACAATAAGAGAAAGCCTTCGTCAGTGAGTGGCATTCACGCCAGAGAAGTCTCTACCTCAGTCTTCATGAGATCCTTGAGCTTCAATAGTTTCTCGTAGAAATGGTTGATCATCGTGTGCCGGCGGTCTTTCCTGGTATACTCCTCCTTAGTCATCCCGTCCAAAACTGGTAGGATGGATGCATCGTGAAGTATGTGATTCCTGCTGCCACCATACGTGAAGCATCGAGCAATTCCTAGACAGGCCAACAATGAAGATCAGTCATTCTCTTTTTCTTCCGCGAAAAGTTCTTACCGATTGCTCCAATTGCATCCAGTCGATCAGCGTCTTGGACGACAGCAAGCTCCGGGCTTTGACCCACTGCTCCATTTGCAAGTTGTTCCTTAAAACCTGCTATTCTTCTATGAGTATATGAAACTCGCAGTGAGAAGAACCAACCCATGGATTTTATGATCGAGAGGACCCTGTGCTTCGTATCGTTGTCAAAACCTTCGTTGTCCAGGAATTCCTTGGCACGGTTTTGCTCGGAGCTAGAGACCAGCAGCGGTGAATTTTGGAATTCTCGCATAGATGATACTGTACCTCTCGACATACTTGTGATCGTCTGGAAGAACAAAGAGAGACGATCCAATGAAAGGAGGAAGTATTTCTTACCGACATCGTGAAGAAGCGCCGCCAATTCGATCTGTGTCACAGCATTGCGATCGAGCATAGTAATCGAACAAAGAAGAAGCTCAAATTCCTACTCACAACGCTCAAAGAAGAATCGCTCGTCAATCCCTCCTCCTTCGCGAGCTCCAGCGCCAGATTGCGCACCCGGATTACGTGCGAGGAATCGTGAGACGCGTCGTTCTTGGACATGATCTCGCGCACAAATCGCTCGGCAGAAGAATGCGCCATAGCTCTAGGGTAGTAGAGAGCTTTCTTCCTGATGAGCCCTAGAGCAAGCGTTCTAGAGAACGCCAGTGACGCCGTCGAGATTATTAGGTCTTCCAAGACGCTCGCCGACGCCAAGATCGCGCACGCTGCCGTCCTCTCCGACCCGCGCCATGGATCCAGCACGCTCATGCGCAATCTCCTCATCCAGATGCACGCGCGGTGTGGTAATCTCGGCGTGGCTCGGCAGATCTTCACCGACACGGCCGCCAAGGACCGATTCTCCTGGAATTTCATCATCGCAGCCTATGCCAATGCCGGGCATCTCCAGGAAGCGCAGGATTTGCTCGATTCCATGCCGCATTGGGATATGATCGCGAGCACGATCATGCTCGCTGCGTATGCCAAGCGTGGCCGTCTCGGTCGAGCGAGAAAGGCTTTCGATGCGATGCCGGTGCACGACCAGATCACATGGAATGTGATGGTCTCGGCGTATTCCCAGGCCGGGGAGATTCAAGAATCCAGGGATTTCTTCCGGAGGATGCCGTCGCGGACGCTCGTCTCGTGGACGAGCATGCTGTGCGCGTGCTCGCAGGTCGGGGAGCTCCAAGAATCGATGGCTCTCTTCCAGGGCATGCCGATGAGAGACCTCATCGCGTGGAATGCGATGCTAGCCGCGTTCTCGGCCGCTGGAAATCTCCAAGAATCAAAGATGATCTTCGACGCCATGCCGGAGTGGGATCTGGCGTCCTGGACGGCGCTCCTCTCGGCCCTCTCCCAGGGAAATCACCGCCTCGACGAAGCGGAAGCTATCTTCTCCTCGATGCCGCTCCACGACTCCATCGCCCGGGCCGCCATGATCGACGCCTACGCGCTGAGCGACCGCCTGGATCTCGCGCAGGGATTCTTCGAGCGAATGCCGGAGAAAGATCTCGTCTCCTCCGCTGCTCTCCTCGCCGCCTACGCGCTCCACTCCAGATTCCAAGACTCGATCGCGATCTTCGAGAGCATGCCGGAGTGCGATCTCGTCACTTGGGCCACTACGATCACGTCGTTTGGTAGAATCGGCGACGTATCATCCGCCAAGAAGCTCTTCGATCGCATGCCAGAGAGAGACCAGGTATCGTGGAACACAATGCTTAGCGCATATGCCCATAATGGGCATTTGGAGCTCGCCAATTGCTTGTTCCAGGGAATGCCCCAGCACGACCGGATCACTCTAACGGAGGTACTCTACGCGTACGGAAGTGGTGGCCACGTCGACGAAGCCATGCGCTTGTTCTCCTTGATGCCGTACGTGGACACAGTGGCCTGGAACATCATTCTCATAGCGCATGCCCACCACGGGCATCCTTCGCGCGTGGAGGAGCTCTTCTATCAGATGCCCGAGTGGAATAGCTTCTCGTGGAACGTCATGCTCTCTACGTACGCTCACAAAGGATGTTTCGAGCGAGCGTTGGGGGTCTTCGAGACGATGCCGGAGAAGAATCTGGTGTCTTGGAACTGCATGTTTTCGGGATTTGCGAGCAGCGGGCATTTTGATGAAGCGCTGGAGGTTCTAGGGGCGATGTTACTGGAAGCTGTGGAGCCGGACGAGATCACGTTTACGAGCGTGGTTCTTGGGTGCAGTCACGTAGGTGATGCGGAGGTGGCGAGGGATTTTTTCCGGGGCATGAAGCTGGATCACGGGCTGGATCCCACGAAGCAGCAGTACGGTTGCATGGTCAACTTGCTTGGCCGTGCGGGGTACGTTGGCTATGCGGAAGATCTCGTCAGAAACATGCCTTATGTTCCTGATGGACGAGAGTGGGCTTGCTTGCTTGGGTCGGTGCAAACAAGTGAGAAGAAAGGTTTGAAAGGCGGAGCTGCGAGGAAGGCACTGGATTTGGAGCCTAGAAGCGGTGCATCGTATGTTCTTTTGGCGAACAACTGCTTCCAAGTCGACTAGAAGCACAGGTTCGTGTTTTACTTTTTTTTTTCTTGTTTTTTTTGGGTTTGACTTTGTCTGGAGAAGGCAGAAAGTCAGGCAGTAACCTTTTGAATTCCTTTTTCTTTTCTAGATACGGGCTTGCTATAGGAGCACTGGCTCCGAGCTATTGACAAAGAATGGCTGCTTTTTGGGTACTATTGGTCTTTGGCGCTCTGGTCGCGGCAAATGACGAACATCAGCCTCTGTCCAAGATTTCGATTCACAGGTCTGCTGTTCGGCTTCAATCTTCGGCCAGTATCACCGCTTCTCCACAAGTGCTTGGTCTCAAGGTACCTTTTTCTCGCTTCTTGCTTGTGCAAAGTTTGATATGTTTGTTCTTCCAGGGCGTAAACGTAGACAATGTGAGAGTTATCTTTCAAATGCCAATTGGAGCCTCGAGCTCTGACTGGATTGGTGTATTTTCACCGTCCAATTTCAGCTCCAAACTGTGCTTGAGTGATCAGCTGGGTGAAGAACCGAGGTTGTGCAATGCGCCAATCAAGGTGAGCAGCAGTTTTTTGTTCTGTCGTTTATCGCTGTGTTTTTTTCTTTGACAGTATCAGTTTGCCAACATGTCGGACTCTCAATACGCCATGAGTGGACGGGGGGAACTTACGTTTCGACTCATAAACCAGCGTCAAGATTTTGCTTTCGGATTGTTCAGCGGCTACCTTGACAAGGTAAACCTGTTATTCTTTAATGATCCAACTGTTGCATTTTTTTGCATGCAGCCAGTTCTCGTGGCTGTTTCACAACCTGTCGCCTTCAAGAACCCCAAAGCTCCAGTTTCCCCGAGACTGGCTCTAGGCAAGGATTGGAATGAGGTAATCCAATAGTTTGTGTGACATCACTTTCTAAAGGTCTGACATCAGATGACTGTTACTTGGACGAGTGGATATTCTATTTCTGAAGCAAAGCCTTTTGTTCTTTGGGGTCCAGAAGATGAGAAATACGCTTTTCGTGCTCCAGCCTCCACCCTCACCTTCACTCAAAAGGATATGTGCGGTATGGAATTTTCTTGCGTTTGCGATTTGCTTAGTGGTATTCGGCCAGGTGCACCAGCAAATACAGTCGGCTGGCGTGATCCTGGCTACATCCATACAAGCTACCTCAAGAATCTCTGGCCTAGCACAACGTATACACTTTCTTTTTTAGAGTTTCTCTCCCCTAAGTTTCTCCTTTTCTTTCTTGCTTTCTCTCAGGTACTTTTATAAGATTGCTCACAAGTTGAAGAGCGGGGACACCGTTTACGGTCCTGAGAATCATTTCATGTCATCTCCAGCTCCAGGACAAGATTCCTTGCAACGAGTTGTCATATTTGGTGACATGGGAAAGGTGCGTATTTTCGTGAACCAAAAACAAAATACTGAGTTTCCTTACTGGCAGGGTGAACGGGACTTGTCGAACGAGTACAGTGACTATCAACCTGGTGCGCTGAACACGACGGATCGCCTGAACGAGGATCTTGACAACATCGATATGGTTTTCCATATCGGTGACATCACTTACTCCGATGGATATCTTTCCCAGTGGGATCAGTTCACGGAGCAGATTGAGAAAATTTCTTCACGAGTGCCATACATGATTGCCAGGTTTCTGGCATTGGTTTGATTGCTCTTGTCCCACTCCACTGACGTTTAACTCCATGCAGTGGAAACCATGAAAGGGATTGGCCTCTCTCCGGCTCGTTTTACAACGTTACAGATTCCGGTGGTGAATGTGGTGTTCCAGCTCAAACAGTGTTCAACATGCCAGCGAAAAATAGAGCCAAATTTTGGCAAGTGTTTGTTTTTTCCATGTGTACTTTCTGTTTTACTCTGGATTGCGTCTGCAGGTATTCAGCTGACTACGGAATGTTTCGTTTTTGTGTTGCCGACTCCGAGAATGACTGGCAGGAAGGCAGCGAGCAGTATAAATTCATAGAGGAGTGCTTGTCGAGCGTGGACAGGCAAAAGCAACCATGGCTCATCTTCATCGCACACCGTGTTCTTGGCTACTCGTCGGGGTGGTTCTACGCCACACAAGGCACCTTCGCAGAGGCCATGGCCAGAGAAACATTCCAAAAGCTCTGGCAGAAGTACAAAGTGGACCTCGCATTCTATGGTCACCTCCACCATTACGAACGAACTTGCACCGTCTATCAGGTACTCCCGAGCAGTGTAAGGTCTCACCTCGTCACATCATTTCTTACAGAACCAATGCGTGGGGAAGGAAACCGAGAACTACTCCGGGAAGTTCAACGCGACAATTCACCTGGTAGTCGGCGGTGCCGGCGCTCACTTGGCAGACTTCACGCCGATCAACACGACATGGAGCCTAGTCCGCGACAGAGACTACGGTTTCGGCAAGCTGACCGCGTTCGATCACTCGACTCTCCTGTTCGAGTACAAAAAGAGCAGCAGCGGCGATGTCTACGACAAGTTTTGGATCAAACGCGAGTACATGGACGTGCTGGGCTGTGATACTCTCCGAAACTGTCCAGAGGTGGCGCTGGGGCGGTGACGCTGAGGAGAAAATTCTACTCACAAGGTACAATTTTTCTTTCCATGCTACAAACGTGATAAGAATGATAAAGAAATTGTGCCAAGAGACTTGCTTTAAATGGATCTCGGCCTCTCGCCCCGACAAAGGTTCCAGTCACAGGAGAAGTAATGTACTAATGTTT